TATTAGCCTTTTATTATATAGAATTCCACAAAGCCTTCTGAGGTATATCTAATACTTCATTACCAAAGATTCCAGATAATATACTAACTTTTAAATGTGTTAGATGGAAATATTTCTAAAATGCATTATGTAACTTCTTACCCAGAACATATGTCATAGCATGTTCTTTTGATTTTTCTTTGTCTGTTCAGTTTTTCTAGTTACCTTTCCTGCTCAATGCTACCAATAGCCTCAACTCACTTCTATACCAATTCCTTCTTCTCTCCTCTAATGTGATGCTTCGAGTGCTCTTCATAAATGGGTCAGTGAACTGTGCGTAAACCAAGAGTAAGTGAGAAGTGAGTGAGGCCAAGGGCTCTGCTGTGAGGATAACACAGGCGCTTCTATGCCTGAACTTTTTTTTCTTCCCAATCGGAGATCACTGTGGCTTACTTCTTGGTTGTAAGATGACTATCCTGACTGTAGGGTAGACATCTTAGCTTTAGAGAGGTCAGGTGGTGCCATAGTTTTTAGATGCTCTGAGTCAGGTGCCATGCAGTTCAGGAAGGAGGAGGACTAAAACCCATACGTACTAAAGCAGGGACCATGCCTTATGCATCTCTGTGGTCCTGGGGCCCAGCCCAGTGCCAGACAACATTGAGGTGCTCAGTTAATGAATGAATGATGTCCTTTTCACAGTCACCTTAATGCAGGTTTTGAAGTTTTGGGCTTGCATACAGTTATTCCCTTCGGATTTCTCTCCCTCTCTCTTCTCTGGGAAGTCTTCTCTTCCCTTTAGATCATGTTCATTTTCCCTGCAATGTGTTGTGATGTATTTCATGTAGCTCTTAGATGTAAAACAGCCATGAAAATATACATTTAAAAATACCCTCTTTTAATGCTAGCTGAAATAAGTCAGAGAAAGACCAAATACCATATGATTTCACTTATATGTTGAATTTAAAAAACAAAATAAACAACAAAAAAATAGAAACAGACTCATAGATACAGAGAACAGACTGATGGTTACTAGAGGGGAGGAGGATTGGGGGAACTAGGTGAAAAATATGAAGGAATTAAGAAGTACAAATTGGTAGTTACAAAAGTACAGCATAGGGAATACAGCCAATAATATTGTAATAACTCTAAGGTGCCAGGTGGGTACTAGAAATATTGGGGTTCTCACTTTGCAAAGGATATGATTGTCTAACCACTATGCTGTACACCTGAATCTAATACAAAATAATATTGAATGTAAACTGTAATGGAAAAATAAAATTGAAAAATTCAAATAAAAGACCTAATTAGATACAAAAATAACAACAGAAAAATAAAATTGAAAAATTCAAATAAAAGACCTAATCAGATACAAAAATAACAAAAAAATATAACCCACTTGTAAAACCTTCCAAAAAACGCTTCTTTTAGAAACATTTGTACTTTTAGGAGAGGCTGCTTGTAGGTCAAAATGAAACTCTAAGTAGTAGAATTAGTGTAAAATGAAATAGTTCATACATTTCTGGTGTAAAATCTATTTAAAAGGCAATTTGGAAACACAGATCAAGGGCCTTAAAAATGCTTGGTCCATAATGCCACTTCTAGGAAGTTGTCCAAGGAAAATAACCTTTTCACACAAACATTTGTGTTAAAGAGTATTTATTACATAGCGGGTGCAACCCTTCCTGTCCTAATCCCCTGGAGGCGTGGTGAGCACAGCGCCACCTCTGCTGAGAAGGCTTCGGAGAACAACTCCCTGGCTCTGGGATCTGAGGCTGTCAGAGAGACCTTCTCTTTTCAGCCAGTTAACAGTCTCCATAAAGTATGTGGCCCCAGGAATACTGCCTTTGGTCTATTTCATTTTCTCTTCAGATTAAAGAAAAAGAAAAAAAGTATAGTCTATTTAGATAGGCAGAGGGGAGATAGGGAAAAATAAACAGAATATTTCCTTTTCTTTTTCTTGTTCTTCGTTTTTTTTTCCTTTCTTTTTTTAAGAGTAGTCTCCCAGACTGAGTCCAGAACTCTACGTATTAAGAAGATCTTGTTACACAATGTTCACATTCTTAATTTCTTACAGTTCTATTTCTTCTTAAGTCAGGGTAATTTGGTTTAGAATACAACAGACCTTATTTGTATGGCTGTTTTAGGTACATCCCCAAGAACTTTGCTTGTAGGGAACTAACCAAACATACATTTGCCTTTCCTCTGCTCTTTTAATAACACATCCTTTATCATTTCCATTGAATTAAATTATTTTTCATTGCTTTCCTGACCAATTCCCTATACAAATTACGTCTTCCCTCTCCCCTCTTTCACACTGTGTATCACAACTTGCAAATATGCAACTATTTGTGCGTCTGTTTCTTTAAGGCCTGTCTCTCTTCCTAGGCAGCAGGGGGAGGTCTGCTTCACACTCTATACCCACAGCCTGCCACTCAGTGGGTAGTTATCAAACACTGCCCAACAAATAGATCAATACACAAACACATTTGATTTTGAAAAAAATGATGGGAATTCATAACAATGTGGGCATCTGATCTTCCCTAATGTTACTTTTAGATCAGCAGAAACTTTTGTGATCATTCAAAGAGTGTAAGTGACAAGTGATTTAAACCTCAGACGAAATTCATGTAAATACAAGTTTGACTTGCAATCACCTATGAATTGTATTCTGTGATACAGACTTTTTTGCTCTGAACTTTGGGAAGGGGTTAAATCTTGCTAAGAAGAATGCAAAAAGATTGTATTATAATAGAAAGTGAAAACCAACCACCCCTTTACCTCCAATAGCAGCAAAGAAAAAATATATCTGAAGCAAACCTTTCCAGGAATTATAGGAAATAATATTAATAAAGCATAATCTCAGTTAATATATCAACACTCCATTAATGGCATTTCCTCACTGATTTCTAAAAAGCAAAGACGATATAATTTTTTTTTAATTCTATAGGCTTTCTGTATTGTTATAGATTAATTAAATCTTTTTTTAAAATAAGCTATTCATTATATTTTTCCTTGCTTTCTAAATCTTGTCTCACTGTTTGAATGAGTTAGAATGAGGGAGAAACAAATAGAACAAACCAAAGTTATGGAGAAGGCATATGTGTGTGAACTTTATTTCATCATGAGAAAATCACTTCTGTGCAGTAACAGAGGATACTGGTTTCTACACGATGATAAGGTTGTCTTGGTAGTTAGATACATACCTTATATTTGTATACAATATATAAAATTCATGGAGGAAATTATTTCTACAGCACAGTTTCTTTGTTGGAAGAGGACTTGTTCCATTAGTTTCTTTTAGAAAACGACCCCCAGTTCTGTGACTGTGGCACCAAGGATCGCAGTTCCAACTTTGTAATTTATTAGACACCACAATCTTATGGACATTAAGTGAAAGCTACAAACTTCATCCTCCTGCAGGATGAAAAGAGAGACGTGAGTGCTCAAGCTGCTAAGCTGATAACTGATTTTAGCAGAAAAGTATGATTTCCACGATGTATTAGGAGTAGAAGTAGTGTCCCAGTAAGTCTGATGACATGGATTAGTAACATTAGTAGCGAATGGTCTCCCTGCTCTGACGGCATGCACCTCACTCTTCAGTCACACATCCTGTACACATGGAAATGAGGCCATCGCCCTGAAGGGCCTTCTGCATTGCGTCTAAGAGGAACTCTGGGAAGGCATTAGCAGTTACCATGGGACTGTGGGGAAAGAGGCAGCTGCTCTCAAGCTGATAGGTCATCCCAGAGAGAAGATGCTAAAAGGATCACCCCGGGGAGACTGAAGCTACCACATCCCTGTAATCCAAATGGAAATAGACCACGTGGACATTTTTCCCTTGAAGAAATCCTTCTCTTTGAATAGCATCCCTCGCAGACTTACGACTGCGCCCCACACATGGTTTTCATGGCCAGGGGCCTATCAACCGTGTTGTGGGATTTGAAGTTGTGCTTGTTTTTAACCATGTGAACCATTTCAGGGGCGATTGGCACAGGCTGAGGTTTGTGGAAAGTGTATGTGTGTGTGTCAGGGGGGCGTGGGGGGAACACCACCATAGTTCTTTTAGCTAACATCTTGAATTTGACCCAAATCAACAATTAGTTCTGCAGAGGGAAGTTATGGAGAATGCCAGTAGTGTGGGGTCTTCTATGATTAAAATCATACCCAGAAGGTATGATCTGGCACCAACCACAGATACCTCTTCATAGGCTGGAGTTCATGGGTTGCAATTGCTTTTAAAATGAAAATGTTAAAAGCCTCAGAGGTTATACCTGGCCATCTGAGCTGGATGGCTTGCCTTCGATGACCCAAAATATTTACAGACCAAAATATCTAGAGACCGACTTCATACAGTGGCCCTAGGCATTCTGACCACTCCTAGAGGGACTGGCAAAGACGAAATCGCAAGGTAATGTGGAGTTGCTGGTCTCGTCCTGTCTGGTGCCCATAGGAAGCCTCAGTCCTGGTGCTGCTGGCCTGGGCTTGGGTGTGAAATGGAAGCAGTCCATGCTGGGTGCGCAAGAGTGGTGGGCTGGCCCTCTCTGAACAGCTCCAGCACCCCACCCATTGGCACCGCGGTGGGTCAGACATACCCGCAGCTGGAAAGAACCTCGGCCCACCCCTGGGAACAAGCAAGCACTAACAGGCGATTGAGAAGCATCTGGGCAACACTGGCAATGATGTGGATGGTGGGGAAGGGGAGCCTGCCCTAGAGCCTAGACACATTGGTCTCAAATGCGGGGGGACCTTCAGGCCTTCGCGTTTCAGCTTCTTCAACTGCAGCTTATTTAGAGCGTTATCAAAGGAAGCCGACGGCCCGAGCCATTTGCACTGCCGCTGTGGACTCTTTGGTTTGACACATCCACACACCACGGGCTCCCCAGCGCCGGAGAGGACCAGCGGCCTGGGCCAGGGCGCAGAGCGAGTCATGGCCACACTGCGGAGTGCGGCACTGGCGGGGCTACCTCCGGCTTAGACGCCTCGCAGCTCTCGCTCTGAGGGATACTGCTGAAGGGCCTTACCCTCGGACGTCTGGAGGACCAGGGTCTTGCTGTACTGGCTGACTCCTGTTTTGTTGAAGGCCTTGACGCGAGCGTTGTACGTGCTGTTGAAGTGAAGACCATCCACGGTGCACATGGTCTCCTTTCCGACATACACTTCCTGAGGGTCGACAAATAACAGGCCACCAATTACCAGGAACCCTTGGGAGGCGTTAGGGGGTAGTGTTTCCCAGTGGTTAGGGGGAAAGTGCTTGGGCATCAGATCTGGCTTTGACTCCTATGAGCTATTGGGCCATTTAATTGACCTCTTTTAGCCTCAGTTTCCGCACCTGGAAAATGGTTATAGTAATACTCAGCTTATGAGGTTAGTGTAAGGATTATATGAGGTCATATAGGCAAACTGACTAGCATGGTGCCTTGTATTTAGCATGGCAGCTTAATGAATGAGAGTTATTAGCAGCGAGGGCTTCACAAATTAAAATTGGGTGTCAGAGATAGCATTGTACTTGTTATTATTAGCATAGCATTTACACAGTGTATTATACCTATGAGCTCTTTATCCATCAGTGTGATTTGTGAACAACAGATTTGAAAACATGAGGGTGGTCTTTTTGCTGTGTTTATAACTCCAATAATGACTTCAGGAACTGTTGCAAGGACTATCCACTCAAAGCCATAGGAGTATAGGTTTTCATCACAGTACAGAATGAAGGGGGAGGAAACAGGGAAGGGAGAAAGAATGACATTTCAAAGGCTTAAAATAAATCCTAGCATTATGCATGTTTAGCAAAGGTTAGGCATCTGCCTCCCTCTTTAGCTGCACACTTTGCAACATTATGCTGATGTAATGAGTAAAAATAATTCACATTCAAAGCACAGCCTTAAATCGTCAACTCTCTGGTGGGACATTAAGAAGACTGGAGTCTGGGATGGCAGCATGCTAAGGGTTTTATATGGATGATCTAAATGACTCTTAAGAATGTTATTATTATCATCCCCATTTTACAACTGAGGACATGAAGGCTCAACGAGGTGAGGAATGGGCAGCCACAAGTTCGTTGGTGGAGTTTGGACTTGAATGTAGGCATTCAGATTCCAGAGCTCACAGCACTGCATGAACTTTCTCTTAAGAAGGGCAGGACCATGCCTGGCTAACGTGGCTCAGTGGTTGAACATCGACCTATGAATCAGGAAGTCATGGTTTGATTCCTGGTCAGGGCACATGCCTGGGTTGCAGGCTCGATCCCCAGTCAGGGGTGTGCAGGAGGCAGCCAATCAATGATTCTCTCTCATCACTGATGTTTCTCTCTCTCTCTCTCTCTCCCTCTCCCTCCCTCTTCCTTCCTCTCTGAAATTAATAGAAGAAGAAGGAGAAGAAGAAGGAGAAAGGCAGGACCGTTTCTATTCAGAGACTCCTTCGTTCATCTCTGATATGGTACAAGGAGAAAGCAGGCCTCAGCTGAGGGTAGGCAGACCCTGCCAGAGAGTATGCCCCCAGGAGAGGAGGGAGAGTGGGCCTGAGACTGCACGGCAGGGCACTGAGGAAGTCACTGGTTCTGGTTAACCAGGAATAGGCTGTCTGCTTACCCGGAACTGCCCACCACTGCCATCATCCAGCTCCAGAATGTATCCCTCGGCGGGCACCGTGGACAGAGGCGGCTGTTTCCAGGACAGTGTGGCGCTGTTGTTGTGGGTGCAGCACTCCTCCAGCTGTAGGATAGGGGTCGCTGGGACTGGAGAGGAAGCTAAACAGAAATTAGTGTAACCCTGGCTTCTGTTGAACTGCAAACATTTCAGTATCTTGGAATGATAAACATTCCTCTGATAAACAATGACTAGACAAAGTATCTGGCCTGGGGGGAGGGGGGCAGCTTTTAGGGGTTGGGGGGACCTGACCCGGATTCCCTCCCTGCCTCCAGGAGTGGGGCTGCTTCCTGAGCCTCTGTGCTGCCTTCTGCCAAGTCCAGGTGGCACTTCCTCCCTTAACTCAAGGGGAGACGAGTGCTCTGTTCTCACTCCCTTGAGCATCAAAGACACCACCTCTAAGGGAAATGGTTTGCAAGTGGGATACATTTCCAGTCGAGCCCATAAAAGCCCTTTTAACCTATACCATGGCTTATACATCTATCATAACATTTATTCTGAGCCCTACATCCCAAGTTTAAAAACTTGAAATTGCCTATTCCTGAGGAATATCTCTGAAGCCACGATATTTGTAAGGTCCTGTCATTTCTTTTAAACCAGTGATTCTATTCAAGGCCTTGTGCATATAAGTAGCTAAAACAGTGTATTTTTGAAAATTTGGTATCAGTTGACACAAACAGTGATTTCTTAGTTTTGAAACTTCTGAGGAAATTTCATCATTCTTTCAAGGTAGCTATACCTTGAAGACAGCACTAGCTCAAGTCAGTTCTTTCTGCAGGTTTAGAACAGTCACATGGGAGCCCAGAGAGCAGTATGGGAGCAACAGGGCCTACAGGGAGGGTCAGGGTGTCCTCGTGACCTTGGGACTATCTGTCACAGTGTTACTAGTCACAACATAGCCCTGTCTCCATTTTGTGCTGAGTCTTCTGTGTTACTTAAAACTGACTTCAGACATACAGACATAGAAATGTTAGGTAACGAATCATGAATCATCCAAGTTCCTATATAAACTCGATATATGTATCTGGGGACAATGTTTTTACCAACTGCTTAACAATTATTTTTCAGCACCAAAATATGAATTTATTTTTGTAGCACTTTAAAATAGGAGATGAGCCCTGACCGGTTTGGCTCAGTGCATAGAGCATTCGCCTGTGGACTGAAAGGTCCCAGGTTTGATTCCAGTCAAGAGCATGTACCTTGATTGCGGGCACATCCCCAGTAGGGAGTGTGCAGGAGGCAGCTGATTGATGTTTCTCTCTCATCGATGTTTCTAACTCCCTATCCCTCTCCCTTCCTCTCTGTAAAAAATCAATAAAATATATTTCAATAAATAAATAAAATAAAATGGGAGATGGCAGTTTGGCTCACATCCAGGGACATTTAGATGAACAAAAGCTAATTGTGAAAGAGGTATGCTGTACCCAAACTGGATTCTGAATGTCATGCATTGAATTAAATCTGCTCCCCTTGCCAGTCACCCCAACCCAGAGGACGGTTAATTTAATAGCAATATAGGAAACAAGTTCTATGCTGGGTGACCTATGAAACAAATGCAGTGACTATATATACCATGAGAGATGTGAAGGTGAAGCAGGTCAATTATCTTATACTTAAGAAAAGACTGTGATACATTACGAGAAAACCATGCCTGAGTTACTAGAGCAAATATAATTAAATTAAAATTATGAGTCTTCGTGTGAAAAATGTTTTATACTAACGTATTTGCTGCACACATTAGTTTTCTATCTCTTCTTTAGAATCTGTGATATGTTTTTATTTACAATATTCTCCCTTATCATCTGTGAGGGATGATTCCCAACTTACTTAGCATATTCGTTACAATCCTCCCTTTGATTGGTATCATGATGAGCATTACTTCTAAATCAGTGGTTCTCAACCTTCCTAATGCTGCGACCCTTTAATACAGTTCCTCATGTTGTGGTGACCCCCAATTTCATTGTTACAAATTGAACATAATTAAAGCATAGTGATTAATCACAAAAACAATATATAATTATATATGTGTTTTCCGATGGTCTTAGGCGACCCCTGTGAAAGGGTCGTTCGACCCCCAAATGGTGGCGACCCACAGGTTGAGAACTGCTGTGTTAATTGGAGGTGATCAGTTTAGGAAGGGACATCATGTTTCAAGTGTCAATGGCATAGAGTTCAGGTGGATCTTATCAGAGAACAATGGCATCCGTAGCCCCAGAAATCCCAGAACATCTGGACATGGAGAAAGGAGATACATTCATCGCCTCGTTCAATAGAAAGACTACAGGACTGGATGGAGGAAGGAAGAGAGAGAAGACATAACTCCCTCTAACGATTCTAATGACCATATAAACACAAACAGGTATCACCTATGCGTTGTAATTAGAGGGTTAACTTTAGGTTATTATACATGTTAGGAACTTACTTTGTCATTTAAATATTTTCCATATAAAAGAAATACACTTTAGTATATTAACTGTGGAGTAAAATAAGACAAGTTCAAGCTAACCATTCTTCAAAGGGCTTCTAAAGACAAGGAATGATTCTCCTTGGGGATAGTTGCTCTTAACTGGCCATATTGGTTAGAACTTCCATACATCAACAATTTCTAGAACTCTCTTTATTTCATTAGCTCCCCTATCAGTCTCATTTTACCTTTGTTCATGTTTCAGGAAAGTCTACATGTTATCAATTATAAAATCAAAGAATAAGGTCACAATAAGAAACCAATAAGGTTTCACTTGAATGTACAAATGCTTGTAATGACTGATAAGAAACTCAAATTTCCCTATATGGACATAGGCATAATTAAAATGTTAATTGAAATACATAGTGTCATGTATAATTAAAACATGTGAACCTCACTTACTAGTATAAGTCCTCAGTGGGTACATTTTAAAAGACCAAAAGGGTAGAAAAAAATCTAACCACTCACTAGTCTTCAGATCTTAACATTGTCCCAGGTTTAAACAAATAAGCAAACAAAAAAGGGGCAGAGAGAGAGAGAGAGAGAGAGACTACTAGAGAGACTACTACTATTTGCATAGTCTAAGTCTATTTCTCAATGTGCTCAGAATTATTTTTTTTCCATTAATTACCCCAAAGTGAAGTTGCATATAAAAGGCAAATGTGACAACATTACAGTTGACATTTTAGAAAAACATTTGATAGTGGGTGTTATGTTACCCCATTATACTTTATTGGGTATAAAATAAATGGTCTATAAGAATCCAAAGTATTTCCAAATTATTTTACCTTTTGTGGTTTGAAAATGGATAGCATCACAGTTCCTGGGCTGAACTACAAGAAAAAAGGTTTTAGTTTATTGAAACTCTTGTTACTGAAGCTACCATAGCTATCTTGATCTTGACACTTTTGTGATCATTCCTAGACATCATTGTGGGTTTCTTTCCTAAAGAACTAATTTCCCCTATCTGATAGAATTCTAGAACTTAGCATCCTTTGAGCCCATAAAATCCAGCTTCAGGCTAAAAGTCTCCCCTTAGAGAGAAAGGGGCAGCTGTTCTTACTGACTTCCCTGAAAGGGCCTGGTAGAGCTATGGCTCAAAATTAAATTTTACAACAGTGTCTTCTTATACCAAAGTTTTCAAGTGTTTTAACTTTTTAAGTCCATTTCATTCAAATTATATCTCAGATTTTTCATATTCATTTAATATTTCCCCCTAATCCTTCAGATAGTGAACAGTCACAGCCACTCGGAATTCCTCTGTGAAAGGTAGCAGGAGTAGGAGGACACTCGAAGGGAAGTGGGCCTCCCACTATGGACATGAAGAAATAATGATAGGTGGTGGCCTTGAGCACTTACTGAATGCATGATGGTGGGGTGAAGTTTTACGTGTATTCACTCATTGAATTTTCACAACAACCCCACAGTAACTGGTACTGGTATTATCTCAATTTTGTAGAGGAGGAAACTGAAACAGAAAGGTTTCATGGCTGGTAAGTGGCAGGGCTGGGATTTAGAGCCAAGCTTACACTGCATTCTGCTGCCTCTCTAGTTGGCTGTTTAGTAATACAGTGGGGCCTTGACTTACGAATGTCCCGACTAACGAGTTTTTTGAGATACCAGCTGTCTCTCGGCTGATTTTTTGCATTGAGTTGATAGGGTAATTTGAGTTAACGAGCTCCTTAACGAGCTCGGTCTCAGAACGAATTAAACTCGTAAGTCAAGGCCCCACTGTAGTGCACTAGAGGGAAGTCCCCACCCTCAATTCCAAAGGGAAGTTTCTTTTTGGTTTCTATATGGGAACGATAAAGCCTCCCAAGAATTGATGGCATGGATTAATGAAATGTTTCACCGCGAAACCCATGGTAGTTGGGAATGCAATTTTGCTGAGTCACCTTGTCTGAAGGTTCCTTTGTGAACTCATTTGTTTTATGGTGGCTGAACAATACAAATGGCATCTAAGGGAAAGTTTAGACTTTAGCAGTGGTTCTCAACCTTCTGGCCCTTTAAAAAATACAGTTCCTCATGTTGTGACCCAACCATAAAATTATTTTCGTTGCTACTTCATAACTGTACTGTTGCTACTGTTATGAATCATAATGTAAACATCTGATATGCAGGATGGTCTTAGGCGACCCCTGTGAAAGGGTCGTTCGACTGCCAAAGGGGTCGCGACCCACAGGTTGAGAACCGCTGCTTTAGAGGAAGCTGTTTCTGGCAAGCCATCACTACTACACTGTCAAGGTTAAACATGAACACAGGTTTTGAGGACATGCCTTTTAGGCCCCCCAAACAATGAACAGATTACATGCATGAACAGATTACATGCAAGTATTATGTGGACTCGTCTCCACTGCCAAACCTCTGGGCACACTTTCTCCATGATTGATAGGGGAGTCTGTTAAGGTCACACTGTCTTTGCCCATGACCTTGGTACATACTCAGAGCTCTTACATTCAATACCAGTTAATAAAGTTAAATGTGTCTTAGGTGAGTAGAGGCAGTTAGGGGATTAACAGCTGTTGGTATATGTGCTAAAAAGGCTAGGTGGAGTGTTAAGTGACTGTTTCATCTGGTTCAGAATGAACACTCTAGTGTTTCACTTCACCACCCAGACTAGTGAAT